TGATATAACATATAAAACTATAATCAGGGACCCGACAGTAGGTCTTAAGGTCAGGCGTAAGGTCTTCTGCAACAATGTGTAAACAATGGAGAACTAGAAACGTGAAAAATATTACAATTCTCAAGTAAGATGCTATATCCCCAAACACGTATGATCTACCCACAATTAACATGGGCAAAATCAAGATATTCAGGAGAATATGCAATCCTTTTTTTATAATTAGCTATATTGATAAATAAATTGCCTAGTCCTCAATGTACCAGAATAACAAGACGTAAAAATAAAATAAAATAATTGCATAGTTGGTTCGATCTTGTTTTTTCAACTTGGTCGAATACTATGGCAGAGTAGACAGGAGTAGGTGCATTCCATAAGGACCTTCTGACGCTGCGACCAAGTTGCGAAATAAAGGTCGAACCAACACTATACGGCTAAAGGAGAATGCGATCAAACAGAAGGCCACACCATCTTGGTCTTCACATCTACAATCTAAATAATTTCAGTTCATTCATTCGGGCCAGAATGTCTATCATGCATTATGTGAAAGATAATACATAAGGGACTTGAAAAATAAAATATGTGTATATTGCAGAATCAAAGCCTGCTTTAAGAATAGCTAGATAGTAAATAATAATATAGTAGCTTAGAGTAAATGGACGAAGAACTAAGTGTTCACTAATTTAAATTAGCCTCCATATGATTTCAGCCTAGTCGATATCAAACTTACGCAGAAGCTTCAACACAATCTGGTGTTCTTGAATCCAGCCCATTAATATCTGCCAAGGTATTGCCTTTCGGAGGCGCCGTCTAGCGAGATAGAGTGCGTTTTCAGTAGCCAGTTGACTTGCAGAAATAAGTGGAGGCGCAGGCCTGTTCCGTCGTGCCAGGCTACCAGTAATGCTTAATCTGCAACTTCCATCGCCAAGAGAAGGCCAGCTGGGACCACCAAGTGGTTGGGGCGTAACTAGCAACTGGCGGTGTTCAGGCTTGTAGTCAGTTAGGGAGACTGGTGGAAGACGAGCTATCTCATCCTCGTCAAAACGAGCCTCCTGCAGAACGGCACGCGAAGCTGTTAGTTGGGTGACAAGATCTCGGAGCGAAAGCATCCTTGCATTAAACGAACCCGCACCACCACTCCCAACCTTTTCCTTGGTTTCACCATTACTGTCGTCAGTGAAGACCATACCAGCTCCGGTGGTGAGAGTTGCGGAGGGCATTTCGAGCTGAGCGGGAGAGAGAGCAGCCAGATGAATGCGTAGATGCAGCCCCTCCAGACTAGCCACGGTAAGAAGTTTGTCGCAAACAGAGGGGGAATCGGGCAACAAAAGAACTTGACTAATCAAAAGACTGTTAGGTCGTTTAGGTAAAGTGGCAGATGCCGGAACATTTTCGGAAGCTGAAGAATCATTAGTTTTTTGGAGGTCCGAAAGAGGAAGGTCAGCTAAGCGGTGACCAAGGAGTCGGAGGCTGGTGGCCAAATCAAAAATTTTAGAATCCTGAAAACAAAAATAGTGAATAAAGAAAAAAAGTGGATTTACCGGCGTAATCAATTTTCATATTCAGCCGGTAAACTATGCAAGACAGGCTTTTGAAATAAGCCGAAGGTTTGAAGACAAAGATGGTGTGGCTTTATGAAATAAATGTGAAGAAAAGTTGGGTTTCGAGGAATCTCTTGTTTCATAATTGTTGAGCTTACTTACAAGAGAGGAATCCGCCGTCGTCTTCTGACCGAACCGACCTTCGAGTCTCTTCACCCAACACTTTCACTCGAAGTGGAAGTAAGCTTATGAAATAAAGCCTGACTGAGGCGAAAAACCGATAGCTAAAAAATTCGCCTGTGCACCTTTTAAGAAAGTTAGAAAAGGCTTGAAAATAAATTCAAGCTAACAAGTGAGCTGTTGAGCTCACTCTAATTTCGAGTAAGTGTGATGAAGATATTCTAAGGCCGATCCCACATGAAGATGATGACGACGGATTCGTTGAGGCCAGTTGTCGATTTGCTTTACTGGAACATTATGGTTGACGTTGGTTCCGAGGCAATCTCTTTCGATTGCTTTAAAAGACATGCTAAGCTTTCGTGCGTCAAATGATGTACATAATCAGAGAAGGGCCTCATTTTTAAAACAATAATGAGGCTAACAAGTCAAGAATATTCATCGACTTATGTGTAAAAAAAGTGGTTTTCGAAGAATCCCTTGATAGATTGAGGTTGGAGTTCCTTTCATTTCGTTCAAAGGGACTCGTAAGTTAGCCTCACCGCAAGCCTAAATGGGATTACCTTAGATTCAGGTATGTAGATTTGTGCGAATAAGTCCTCGACTCACGGTCCCGCGACCCCAATGAATCCCTGCTGAGCCTCATCCATCATGTGACATACATAGTCAGAGCAGGATACCATACCTTGCGATAACTTACTAAGCATGAAGACAAGAAAGGTCGCCCCAGGGCTATCCACATTTGGCTTCCGAACAGACTTTCATTCGCCTTTCCAAACGAAATGAAAAGTATTACTCTGCTCTGGACGAAGGCTTAGCACGCTTTCAATATAATCGAAGTATATTGCCTCGGA